TGAATCGTTTCCCACAGAAGTGAATGTGTGCCATGACTTCTACGGGAAAGCTGAATCCTCGATTGGAAAACGGGGATCCCCCCCCCACCTTACTGTAAACCTTGCAGCTGTAGAGGGGATTTCCACATTGATCCTTTTCCCTATAACTGACAGGGAACTTGTGCTGGAAATGTCTTGGGGACCACAGCTTGGAATTCCCCTAATATGTCACAGAGCAAGCAGGGAAGTAACCTCCTGAGTCCAAATGGTACTAGTTCCTGAGAATATCTCAGCAACAAAACTCTTAAGAGAACAGCTTTGAGAGAACTTGTGACTGACCCAAGGTCACACTAGCAGCTGCCTGTGGAGGAGTGGGGAATCAAACCCAGCTCTCCCAGATTAGAGTCCGCGCTCCAATGTCACACCAGCAGCTGCACGTGGAGAAGTGGGGAATCAAACCCGGTTCTCCCAGATTAGAGTCCCCGCTCCTAACTGCTACACCAAACTTTGCTGAGGGTGGTCTGCATGGATCCCCCCCACAATCCTCCTTGCTGTGGTCGCAATAAGTCAGCTGCAACTTGATGGAGGAGGAGGAGGAGATTGGATTTTCTTTTCTTCCTATCCCCTGTGAGGTAGGTGGGGCTGAGAGAGCTCTGAGAGAACCGTTGCTCTTGAGAGAACAGCTCTGAAAGAACTTGTAACTGACCCAAGGTCACCCAGCTGGCTGTATGTGGAGGAGTGGGGAATGAAACCGTTAGATTAGACCCCACACTCCTCACCACTACATCAAACTGGTTACACACACACAACTTGGGTGGTTAACCATGCTGGCATTCTTTTCGATTTGGTGATATCTTTCCTTAATTGATGTGGTTCTAAACAGCTTCCAAGGCTTTTGGAGAATTTGACACTCTTGATCTTTCCTTTCAGCTTCCTTCTTACTGGTCCCCTCATTTTGCTACAACTCCCCCTTTGAAATCCATTGTGATTGTTTTGAACTGCCCATTGTGACATAAATGTTGTCCACAAGAGCCTTGTGGTCACTGTGCCCAGTTGGTGCAGTAACAGCTATGTCTTGCAACAGGTCTTGGGCTCTGCTCAGAAGAGTTGGATTTATACCTTCACTTGGAGTCTCAGAGAGGCTTATAGTCTCCTTCGCTTCCTCTTCCCACAACAGACACCCTGTGAGGTAGGTGAAAATGAGAGACCTCTTGAGAGAACTGTGGCTGGGCTGACCCAAGGTCACCCAGGTGGCTGCATGTGGAGAAGTGGGGAATCAGACTCAGTTCTCCAGATTAGTCTGCCAGTCTTAACCACTACATCAAACCAGCTCTCAGAAACAAGTCCAGGGTCACCTCACCAGTCCTCTAGCTGTCCCTGTGACCAACTTTTCCAGTGCAAGTCTTTTATGATAGCTAGAAACCTTACCTCTGTGTCATGACTTGAAGACACATTTACCCATTCTATGCGAGGGTAGTTAAAGTCGCCCATTATTACAACATTCTCTGCTTCAGTCATTTCCCTTGTTTCCCCTTCCAGATTGAGTTGCCTTTTGAGGAGTTGGTCAGTCTAGCAGTAACTCAACCGCGCCTGAAAGTTATGTATAGGGCCTGGTCCCTCCACACATGGCAATTCTGTGCAGGAGTTTATTTCCCTTATAATTCCTGGTGTACATGTCTCTCTCATCTCTTTGATATAGAGAACCCCACATCACCTCTCAAGATGTCCTTCCCTGTTCTGACTATGTTGTTGTTCAGTCGCACAGTCGAGTCTGACTCTTCACGACCCCATGGACCACAGCACACCAGGTCCTCCTGTCTTCCATTGTGCTCCGGAGTTTGCTTAATTCCATGTTTGTTGCTTCGATAACACTGTCCAACCATCTCATCCTTTGCCGTCCCCTTCTTCTTTGACCTTCCGTCTTTCCCAGCATCGGGGTCTTGTCCAGTGAGTGCTCCCTTCTCGTTTGGTGGCCAAAGTATTTGAGCTTCAGCTTCAGTATCTGGCCTTCCACCCATTCTGCCGGGCTTCTAAAATGCTCACAGCATCTATCTTGTCATTTAGTACCAAACGTTCCAGCTCCCCCTACTTGCCTGGAGGCTTTGAGCACTGACATACAACTATGTGCTTTGCCCCATGGACCGAAGTCGCACCACCTGCTGTGGGGCACGTGGTGAAACACCTGGCTGCTCACCTCTCCATTGCTGGGATTTCTGGTTGCTCTCCCTCCATCTGTATTTTGCCGCTTTGAGAGTCTCTTGCAGAGAAAGCACCAGATGTCAATTCTTTAAAAAAATATGCATTTCTCAAAGCTTCATCCAATACCAATCAAGCCAGCCACCTCTCTGTGCTGTCTTGTGATCAGGAAATCATCTCTGAAGGCAGGAGAGTCTGACAGACTTGCTTGCCAAACTGAATTCCCTACCCCTCCATCATTGGAACTTGGTACCCTACACAGATGTCTGATTCTCAGAACAATTTTTTTTTGGGGGGGAGGGGAAAGTGCTAAGGGATTTGGAGGCCCGGACCTGGATCTTAGACTCATCGAATTGGAAAGGACCTCTGTTGGTATTTGAAGTCCAGAGTTACTATGTACAGGAAGCCATGGGAAACCACCCCTGAATATCTCTTTGCCTTGAAAACCCTACAACACAGGTGTCGAACTCATTTGTTATGAGGGCTGGATTTGACAGAAATGAGACCTTCTTGGGCTGGGCCACATGTGTCATAAAATGTAATGCCAGGTAGCAGAGATATAAACTTTATAAAGGACAAAAACACAAAGGGTTTTTTAAACTTTTTAAAACTTAAAACTCCCCACTCTTGCAATATTTTGTTTATTTAACAGTGTCTGATAACTGACACCTCTTGCTCTGAATTATTGCATCACAATGTCTGTGGTGTAGCAATCCTGAGTATGCTGTTCAGCTGTGTGTATCTGTAAGCTGCAAACCTACGATGACGCAGCAGCAGCAGAACTGGAAGAAGCAGCAGAAGACAGCCAGTTCCACTGCAGGCCTGATAGAAGCCCTCCAGGGGCCTGATTCGGCCTCCAGGCTGCATGTTTGACACCCCTGCCCTACAAGGTTGCTATAAATTGGCCACAACTTGGCAGCCCTTTCCACCACAGCCAAGGGACTCTGACACGCGTGACTGTTCCCTGGTGTGCCACCAGAATGAAGGGCTGCCAATTTCCAGGCAGGCCCTGGAGATTTCCCGGTATCACGGTTGATCTCCAGAGGATAGGGACCAATTCTGGAGAAAAGAGATATTTCAGCGGCAGACTCTATGCCACTAGATCCCACTGTGGAGTCTATTCTGCCCAAACTCTACCCTCCTTAGGCTCCATCCCAAAAATCTCCAGGAATTTCCCAACCTGGAGCTGGCAACCTGAAAGTCTTAAGTAGGGTTGCCAGATCCCCCCTGGACCAGCGGGGGACGGAGGGATAGGGTTGGCAGATCCAGATTGGGATACTCCTGGAGATTTGGGGGGTGGGAGCCAATGTTCCCTCTAAGCTGGGGAGTCGTGTGAGCAAAAATTCTACTTTGTGAGCTTGTTGAGCTCTTGGCATTAAAGTTGTGAGCGAGCCATTTGGCTGCTGCATAGATTAGTTTGCTCTGGAGCCCTCCCTCTTGGGCTGAGACAAAAATGTGTGAGCCGGAGGCTAAAAAACTGTGAGCTGGCTCACACGAACTCAGCTTACAGGGAACACTGGGAGCCTGCGGAGGGTACAATGCCCTCCAAAGCATCCCTTTTCTCCAGGGGAACTGATCTCTGTAGTCTACGAAAAGCTGTATTTCCTGGGGCTCCTCAGGTCCCACCTGGAGGCCGGCGCTCCCTATGTAACCGCTACGGAACTCGGACAAGTAAGCCGGATAAAAGCTGAGCCCGGGAGCAGGGCACTGGCCTTGTGGAGGGAGGGCCGGACGCGCGCCGCTGCTGCAGGTGGCCGGTCCCCTGCGCTCGCCGGCGCTCCCCTTCCACCTCACCCCGCCTCCCGGGCAAGCC